GAAGGTTGTCAAGAAAAAAACCACCACATGCTGGAGGATGGTGCTTTATGTAAAAATTAAGAGGTAAGTAAGCCTTGGCTTAAAATGACATTAAATAAAAAAACCCATGGTTTTGTAACTATTTCTGTGACCTGTCTGTCACACAGGGTTAATCTGCTAAGATTACTTCTGTGACACTGCCCTCCAAATCTCAGAAAAATTCAAGAAGTCTCCCAAAACTCAAAGCCCAGAACTCACCTAAAAAAACAACAAATGAACAAAAAAATCCCCTCAAAACCAAGAAACCACGAGCACTACCACCACCACCACCTGCCCCCCCGGCCCTGACTTTTCTTCTGCAGGAGTCTCACAGTAAAGGCAGAATGCTGTAACTACTCAGAAATACAGAGCCTATGTTTTTATACAAGCACATTTTATTTAGCTCTGCTGACCCCACTTGGTGAGAAAATGAAAAATCTACAGTTTTATGATCTTAGAATATTTCTTAACAAAACAGCAGGTGTAGAAGGACAGTTCAGGATGCCACACAAAAAACAAGCACCAAGATTCTTTTCTGTATGCACTTATTCCCACACCCATCTTAGCTACTTTTTGTTTCCCCAAAAGAACTTAGCACTTGAGATAGTGACTACACAACAGCACAAGCTGAAGCGCAGCAAAAATAAATACTAAAATTCAGGAAGATTCAAGAGTATACTAGTGATAATATTGTCTTTTCAAAGACATTGCCATAAGGCAAAAATCAAAGAATGTTTGTACAAACCACAGTATTTCTGAAAACCCAAACAAGCAATGGAGAAGATAGGCTGCTGTAAGCACTTGTCAGTAGCCCTCTTTGGCTACTGTCTTTAACTTGGGCATTTCTTTAGTATCTGTGTACACTTCTGCAAAAGCTGTCTACTTGGATGCTCATCACATTACTGGCTCTCTTGCTTACCCCGGGCATATATTCCATGAATATAGAGAGTGTCCTTTCTGGTGGATCTCTCAAGAAGCCGTAATACTGAACAATTCTTTCATGCAGCAGATTTTTCAGCAACTGAATCTCACATTCAAGTGCATTTACTTCCTAAAAGGAAAAAACAGACAAGATGTACCATGCCTGATGTGGTAATACTAATGTTTTGGATTTGGATTTTTAAACAGGACAGTATGTACATACTGAAGGGATATGTAAACTGAGTAACAAAATAAATTGTAGCTTCTGTAAAGTTTGTACATATTATAACCAGAACGTATCACCATTATATTGAGGGAAGTAAAAAAATCTGGCTTTTCTAAAAATTGGCTTTGGGATGATTTTGCTGTTATTTCATTGTTCTCTTATTTTCAAGTTATGTTTGTTTCAGAGCACAGCGGGTATCAATATGTGTAAAAAATACAAACACATATGGTACTTTCTCTGGAGCTATGTGAAATACTTCCTGTTTGCAAAATTTTCAGTAAGGTATTTTGAAAGACTGTACAGTAAGATACTGAACAAATATTAACTCACTAATCCAAACTTAACTGGATTCCAAATTTCACCAAGCCATCTTTCATAAAAACTTACTTTTTATCTGTCACAGATTATTACTGATACCTTTATACTTCTGAGGTTAGAAGGAAAACAGATTTTTTGACACTAAGAGGCACACGTAACAAAATGCTATGGCAAATGAGGTCACAAGACTGTTGCTACAGAAGAGACTACAGTATTTTATATTTAACATTTCCAAAGCATAATCAGTCGTTTTGTTACATTTTAAAGAAGTCGCAACAACAACTACACTAGAAATCTACAGCACAAATGATTCTTGGCTTTTTTCCTTGATCCTACATCACTAGTAGCAGCAACTATAACTGGTAGCCACTCAATTCTGCAATCATGCTTACACCCATTGTTTCCCCAGCCTTGCTCCCCACAGTGCAGAATGCAGTCCTAATGCAGGAAAAGTAGTAATTCTTTTTCCATCCTGTAAAAAGCAGCAAGTATGGTTTGGGAAAAAAGAAGTGTAAGATTGGTGCTACTTTTAAATAGTTTCTCTCCTCAAGTGTCCATTATTTAAAGGACAAGTTCAACTTTAGAGAGAGAAGCTGCCAACACCGAAATTTTTGCTCTTCAGAAAGAAATACAGTGAATAACAGTAGCTTTTGCCCAATGCCCAAAGTTTTGTTTTTTTTAAAAAAACGAACAAAAAACCACACAACAAAAAACAACCCCCAAAAGATAAAAAAAAAAAAGGTAAGAGTCTCAAACTGTCTTCACAGCCAGACAAAATATCTCTAAGAATTTATTTTTAGGAACACTTAGGTTAGTACAGATATTCTTGTTTACAAGTGTAACTTGTTCTAATTCCTATAGTAGTTTAAGTTTAAATAATTATCTATTTCAGAGCACACTTCATAACGGATCATTTAGTTTTAGAGGCTGAGACAAATTAAGTTATGTATGTTCATTGCATAAGTTTTGACGTCCTGAAAACTAAAAAATAGGATGTAACACTAAAATCAGGTAGCCAAACTAATTTTCTGAGGTATTAACAAAACGAGATTCCTAACAAGGACATGAAAACACAACGGGTTTTAAAATATCATCCTGTTCAAGGAAAGGAACATCAGTCTAGCCTAGAACACGCCACTTCAGCAGAAGCCCTTTTACAAACTCTTTCGTATCACTTACCTTGCTGGTTTCTGGACTATCAGGATCAAACTGGACTTGTTTAACAGCCAGTTCTCTTCCGGTATCAGCATCATAACACAGATATACTCTGCCAAATGCACCTTGACCCAGCAGTTTACCAAGTCTCCAGTTAGTTGGAGCTCGTGGTGCTGAAAATATAAGTATGTTTTGGTTTTCAAATGAGCTTGTTATTCAGCTGATCGAGAAAAACTGGAAATACACAGAAAATAATTTTTAAAAAAACTATGTTTTTCAACACCACAGACTGTGTGTCCTAAACCTCCCCATATAAGTTACGAAGATGAAAAGAACTTCCTGGAAGTTGGAAAACATGAGCTACTTAAATTTATTCACAAAATAATTTCTGGTAGAGATAGACATACTTAAACCAACTAGTAACAGCTAATCTGAAAAAGATACAACGCATGTTAAGCAAACTTAGTAACATTTAAAAAAAAATTGAGCCGTGATTAAAATGTACCAGCTACTGAAGTCATCACAAAGAATATTTGCTCCTGAAATTCCACCACAGATATAAAACAGTACCACTTAAGGTCTACAATTTATCAGAAAACTTGACCAACAACTGCAACCTACATAACTCTTCTTGGGTCCTCAAGAATCTAAGAAATAATCAAAAATATTTTAGAGTGTTTTGTTATCACAGATGTAAATTCCATGTGAAAAATCTACATGAAGGTTGGAACAGTAAGCAATGAAAAAAAACGCTAGGCATACAATCTTGGCTTTTTCCTATGAGACAGATAAAAACATATTATTCAACTGCATCTATTTTGATGACACGCTTAGTTTTGACATGATACACTTGAAAGGTAAGAGAGTTTTACAGTGGCGTTCACAAAGTGCCTTAACTTACAGCGACTGGGTGGGCTGATGTCCATGACTGACAAGGTAGGATTGTCTATGTCACTTCCCCTTCTCCTCATTCGGTTATCTTCATATTCTGGCGTAAAGACGCTGCTTCCGCTACTGGTGCTCAGCGAGTGATCAGTGGGACTGAAACTAACTGGTGATCGGAAACTGTTCCCCTGAGTCCTTCTGGCTCTTGGAAAAGTTTTACGACCTTCAACGACATACAAAGAACACTAATGTTACACGACAAAAAATACTGCTATGCAATGTCTGTATGCAAATACTTCATAAATTCCACATAATGTAGTTCAAATCTTCCACAGCATATGATGATTTAATTGATCATGAAACTTAGTGCTTTAACTTTCCACCTAGAAAAAATAAACATCACAGATATATCCAAGTATTAGACTGAATCAAAAACTGGTTTACATTTAAGTGACCAAAATTGGGACCAAATTCTGGAACCGTTCTGGAATATAACCGACATGCTTCAGAAACCTGGAGGCCTGAGAGAGGAGAAAGGAAGATGCCCTGCCTCTACTTTTATTGCTCTATTAAGGTGCAAATACCAAACTTCTGATAAATAGGAGAGCGAAAGAGATGTTCACATTCCAGTGGTGCCCAGGCTGACATCTTCATCCTGCAAACTAGTAAGAATTGAATGCAGAGAAAGACCTACACATGGAATCAACAGTTAGACAAAAAAAGAAAAAAGAAAAAAATCACCCCCAATGCATAATTCAGAGATGGCTACAGAGTTTGAATAAAAAAAAAGGAATTGATCTTCAAAAAGATTAATTACAACCAGATGACTAACACAATTCCTGTTAATATACTTAGATATAGAACATTTTTAGGTCAGCATAGCTTGATGAAGTTTCATCCTACAGAACTCATAGAAATAGCTGAAGGAGTTTCTGATTCATTAGGTATTACACTGGAGAAGGAGCTCCCAGGAGACTGAAGGCAGCAGATAAAACATCTTTGAAAAAGTAGACTCAGATTTATATACTAGTGTGGCCAATTTAAATTCCAAGAAAGATAGGCAAACAAATTATTAGGCAGTTTTAAAAACTACTGACAAGATAATAAGGTGATAAACCAGCCATAATTAGTTTATCACATGTAGCTAATCCAGTTGCCCCATTTCCTCAGGACATTCTCATAAGCTAACTAGTGATGTGTTGCGTAGACCAACTTACTATGTAGAGTATGCTCAAGACAGATTCAGAGCAGTTATCAGTGATTTCTCAAAGGGGAGGATAATTTAAGTGGACACCCAACAAAGGTTTACCTTCAGTCCAATTCCATACACTATTTCAACTGATGATGTATAGATGATGGAACATAATACACTGAAATATTTCAGATGACATCATGTGTGCCTGGAAGTCCGTTTAAGATAAAAATCAAAATTCACAATGATATTAGTACATTGGAGATGATTCAGAAATCAACAAGATGAATTCAGTAGCGAAGTGCAACATACATACTTGAAGAGAAATCAAATGCAGAAACCACAACGCGTAAAGTAATTGGTTGGCTAATAGTCATGTAGAAAAGGATATAGGAACTATAACAGACCACAGACTGAACATCTGTCAGCATAGTGACTATGAAAAAAAGCGTCATTCTGGAATGTATGAACACGACTGTTACATACCGAGTCATGGTTGTATCCTATGTTATACATAAAGCAGTCATAAGAAAAGCCTCAGCTAGAGTACTCTATTGAGTTTCAGCCACTACAAGAATGGAGAAGAGACCAGGAAAATTTATTTAAAGAATAAAAGAAAAGCTGGCTTGCAAAAGTGGCTGAGATAAGGCTTAAGGCTTGAAAAAAGAAAAATGAGGAGAGAAAACAGATGTGTGTGATGTAGTGTTACATATAGGCAGTGACCAATTTTTCACTGTGTTAAAATGGAGTAACTAGTTACTAGTTTCGTTTGCAGAAAAAATGGTTTAGAAGACAAGAGAAAGGGAAGTGATAAGATAAGCTATCTTCAAAGATAGTCATCTGAAGAAAATGAGTATCTCATCTCTTAAAATCAATTTAGAGTTTACTTAAAAGTCAGTGTGACGTATCTTTGCCTCTTTAATCTTGCCTTAGAGCAAAGAACTGGACCGAAGCTGCTTTGCAGTCCTTCAGTTTAGTATTTCTGTGATTTCTGTAACAGAATTCCACTTATTGCTGTGCTCTTTCCATACTGCAAATGAAACCATCTGGTCTCTGGAGAAGTTTCTTCTTAATACTTCACAACCAGTGCTTGACACACCCTCAAGCCAGAGAATCCTTCAGCTGCGCCTCTTTCCTTCCTTTGGAAATTTAACATGTGTTGAATTTACATTAATGTTATTACCGTCCAAATCAGTTTTGTGGCCACATCAGCAGGCACTGTCTTGCATTCCAACAATTGACTCCACCAGCTAATTGTTAATTCTTGGTTTAAATTACAGCTCTTCAATTTTACTTACTCTTTTAATCTGAGAAACTGTTAATAGGAACTTCACTGTATTTGTTTTTTTTTAAGCAAAACAAGAAATGACAAAGTAACTGACATACCAACTTTGGACAGAAAAGGGTCACAAAGGTGAAAAGCTTACACTGGATGACTCATGCATGGCCAAAGATAGAGAACATTTTCATAGCTGTGCATATGAGTCCTGAATTCTGTAATCCATAACTTTACCAGAGGTAAGACTGCTCAGCAGCTCTATCAATCATTACAAGTTCAGCAAATGATTTTGGGGAAAGAATTTAAGCTTTCAATTTCTTAAATATTTTAATTCACTAAGATTTTACAATCTGAATTTTCTTCTGCATCTTTTAAGAAGAGACACTTCTTAGTACAAATCTTTCAGTATTCACACTTACCGTCATTGTAGTCTTGTTGATGACATGAAATATGGTATCTTCGGGGGTAAGTCCCCCCCTTTCCAAATTTCTCAAATATTGGGATATCATACTCTACTAGAAAATAAGAAGATACATTTCAAAACTTAAAATGTAGCAAAAACAAATTTATCAGTTTGGTATTATAAACTTAAAAATGGGGGAACATATCAGAGGATATGCTTCAAGTTGAAGCATCAGAGCAAAGAAGATTATAGAACAAAACCCATAAATCTAACAAATCACACAAACTAAAAGGACATTCAACCAAAAGTTCCAAAGGAGCGTGAATTCAATATCTCAAGTGAGTTGCAACCTCTTGCTTAAAAGAATGTCAGAGGACTGCAGCATGCCTAATTACTCCAGTATTAAAAATAGTTTCTAGAGAAATTCTGGGAAATTACAGTTCACCAGGAAAACTGGCAGAAGCTATTACAAATAAATAAATTTAAAGATGCATAAATATGAAAAACTGGCAAATGAGTCAATGGAGCTTGAATTACTAAAACACATTCAATAGGTCCTCTTTTAAAAACTATAAAAGGAGAAAAGTATTCATAAGGTAAAGGGAAAAGTCCTTCGTGCATAAATAAGTGGTTAGATGATAAATACATAAGATGGGAGTAAATGGTCAACAGTTCCACAAGAATCTGGGCTACAACTCATGCAGTTTATTTATGCATGAATTCTCTGGACAGAATGATGAATAGCAAGGTCTCAAAATAATTTGGAGAAATAAAGCCAACAGAAGTATTACAGAAAGCCCTTAAAAGTCTACATGACTATGTTAAAATGGCAGATGAAATTCAATGTAGGCTAGTGTAAAGGATTGTGATAGAAAGTTCCAATAAAGCAGCAGCTGAATGCTCTGTATTGGCTAAGCAGCAAATCAAATGCTGTAAATCATTAAGATATACTGAACAAAGTTTTGGTCTACCCCATTTCAAAGGGTTTAGTAAAACTGGAAAAGGTTTACAAGTACAGAGATAATCAAAGACACTAAATTACTTCTCTGTAAGGAATGTAGGCCTCTATAGACAAGAAGAGCTCAAAGAGAAACAAAAAGAGGTCTGTAAAAAATTAAAAAAAAAATCATAAAGGGAATACTTCTTCATAAAACAATCAGTTGCACAACTTCTTGTCACAACATACTGTTGATACTGAAAAATTTTCTATAAGTTGAAATAGGTACTGGAAAAAAAATTGTGGAAGGAAAAAAAAAAATCAATCATATCACAGAAGAGCATCTTGCATTTGTTGAACCTTTAAGCCATACATGACTACAAATATATTTTGAGGAAGGAATATTACACGGCGTTCTATAAACACCTGCTACTGGTTGTGGCAGGAGAAAAGACTAGGCCAGATGGACATTTTTTCTGAATCTAGATACTATTCTGGTTTTGTTACACATCAAATCATGAGAATAAATATTGAATATAGAATTAATGATTGCTGTGTATCCCGTTGTTAAAATACCAGAGCATCCCACAGGAAAAAACAAAACAAAAACATCACCAAAAAAAATACCGCAAGATCATCTTATCAGAAAAGTAATTGTAATAAACACACACAAGTAAACTAGATTAAGATTACCAAAGGCAAACTAATTTATGACATTTCCAACTTTTTTGGTATTTATCTCTGCTACCTAAATGCTTCTTAAACGTAGTTTTAGTTTTGTTTTCATTTCAAAGTGGTGCAATCTGTTAAGCACTCTAGAATCCTTAAAAGAAAAAACACGCCATTATAGCTATCTTCAAAATCAAAATAAAAGAAGCTTTAAAGTATATAATAGATCAAAACCCACAAAACACCCCAGAGTTACTGGAAGCTAATTATTGTTCAACAGCAAAATTCTGTAGCGAGGCATGTCCATGAGAGACACTTTAAAGCACTTTCAAGGTCACCCATTGCAGTTCGTATCCTGAACCATGCACAAAGACTTGGATTCAAGCGAGAATGTTGTATGAAACCAACTTTAGTGGGAGTGATTAATTTATAGGCACAGCACACAGTTCTCCTTCATCCTTTCACTTTGCAGTGCTTTCAATTACACAAGCCATGAGCACTTCAAAATGATCCTCATTTCACATAGAAGAAAATGAAGGCTCCATGTACTGGTTTGGGATGGGATAGAGTTAATTTTCTTCATAGTAGCTAGTATGGGACTATGTTTTGGATTTGTGCTGAAAACAGTGTTGATAACTCAGGGATGTTTTAGTTATTGCTAAACAGTGTTTACACAGCATCGAGGCTTTTTTTGTTTCTCACCCCACCCCACCAGCGAGTAGGCTGGAGGGTCACAAGAAGCTGGGAGGGGCCACAGCTGGGACAGCTGACCCCATCTGACCAAAGGAATATCTCATACCATATGAGGTTGTGCTCAGCAGTAAAAGGTGGGAGAAAGAAGGAGGAAGGGAGGACATTCGGAGTGATGACATTTGTCTTCTCAGGTAACCGTTAGGTGTGATGAAGTCCTCCTTTCCTAGAAATGGCTAAATGCCTGTCTGCTGATGGGAAGTGGTGAATGAATTCCTTATTTTGCTTTGCTTGCATGAACAGCTTTTGCTTTACCTATGAAACTGTCTTTACCTCAACACATGAGTTTTCTCACTTTTACCCGTCCAATTGTCTTCCCCATCCCACTGCGGGGGAGTGAGCAGGCAGCTGTATGGTGCCTAGCTGCCTACTGGGGTTAAGCCATAGCACTCCAAAATTAAATAAATTAACCCAGGTTATGTGCCAACTTAGAGATAGACATTACAGTCCAGTTTACCAAACTGTGGTGTGCCCCTATCCACTGCATCATTTGTTCTTTTCAGAGAAGTAGGTAAGTTATACTATGCACACTAACAGTGGTGTTACACACGGTAACCTAGAAGAAAACACTCGGAAGATCTTATATTTCACTGTATTTTTTACGGCGCGCATTTGTTTTCTCCTGTCATATTAAGTTTGTGTAATATAATACCTCTCAGTGTGAGCTTCCCTTCTAAGCCCTATTATTTGCAAAAGGAAGAGCTCTGGAAAGCTAGTATGTCCAGTGATTTTTGCCCACCTGAGAATTCCTGATGATTATCTGGATAACTCTGTGCTCTTGGCATCCGAGATTTGGGATAGTTGTCTCTGCAAGTGTAAAAACACACAGCATCTAAAAACTGCTGTTAATCTAGTACTTAAACGTTTAATCTTACTGCCTCACAATTCTTTATGACTGATGAAAAGTTATTGCTATACAAGTTGCTGCACCTGTTTACAAACGTGGAAATTTAAAAAATAAAATCTAATAGGTATCAATAACAACTCAAGATCAGTAACAGTGGAAAAACTTGCTTATTGCGTTTAACATAGTAAGAAAGTAACAGACTCTGTTAATGAGCAATATTAGTAAAAACATGAATTATCACAAGTACAGCCACAAAGGAGCACTATTATGTTTAACACCTTTATAGCTAAACAAAGGTTTATAGACTCGCAAAAGTCTCTTACACAGACTACAAAAACTCTTGTGGAAATTTAACCAAAGAAATGCAGAACCTTTTAATGTCTCAAAATATTTCCTCTTCTCTCCATGAAAGTCATAGGATTAAGAGAGTGATTTTATTGAGCTACAGAATGATGAAGAATTTTTGGTTCTTATATGATCACATTGTTTCTTACCTACAGTTGGTATGTAACTCCCAGCCATCAAAAGGAATGGATGGGATTGCCAGTCAGAGCAACCGATTACAGTATATTTCCATAAACATACCAAAACAGTGTCCTCCTTTTTCTGGCAAGAATTTCTCTAATGGGTAACAGAAGCTAAATGGAGACACAAAACCTACATCTTTGTAGGAAGTATTGGGGGGGGAACTAAGTAGAGGTGACAAATGAAATAAATTAACATCAACCAAAAGAAGTTTTGAAGAAGAAAAGTGAGTCAAATGCAGATTGCTTTGTTTCCCCTTCTTCCACGCACCCCTACCCCACAAAAACCTAAAAATTTGTCATTTGGTAGAATTTCTATCCTATGTAGCTACATTAAATACTGTGTGTATAACCTATCACACTCCAACCACAAAATACTTTTCATGTTTACTATTTTCTTGCTTGTGAAATGGAGATTTATTATTTAACTCCAAAATTTGTTTGTTAGACCAAATGTATTTGTGTCCTTGAATCACATGCTCTCAAATGAAAAGGAATACCATAGCTCTGATTAATCACCACAGGCAATGATTTCCAACTTTCTACCCTTCTACTAATTAAATATAATTAGCAGCATTATTTGTATAGCAGTTCCAAATAAAGGAGTAGCCAATTTGAGCAACATTAAGACCCAAGGTTATTTGCCTGACCAGCCATAAGCCAAACAGGAGTATGTTCTGTTTGGCTTATCGGGTGGCTGAGAAACTGTGGACAGTGACCCTCTCAAAACACATCAGTCTCCTAACAGATCAATCAAAATAGATCTCCAGACCCACCACAGTACATGCTGCCTCTTGCTAACTGACAGGTTTAAACACAGAAAAATAAGTGGAAAGTCTGCAATGGGAACAAGGGGAGAGGAACGGACAGTAATTGCAAAGAAAAGGAGGGGAATGTCTGTTGATGTATTTAAATGATTCTACCCTCTTTCTTGAATTGGGTATGCTCAACCTTGGAAAAGGGAAGCTTATGTCATATAGCAGTACCTAAGAAATGTAAATTTGGCGGGGTTGCTCACTATTAGGGAATATACTTCACGTACATAGAAGACTGGCAAAATTTAATAAAAACCTTCAGTACATATTCGTAGGATTTGAAGTCTAAATTTTTGTGTTTCAAATGCAAATTGTATAAAAAAGCTACTTCCATTTTCTGTGCATTAGTAAGCAATTAAGTTTCAATAAGCTTTTATAAATGGACTATAACTTACAGAGGAATTTCTGGAAGAAGTTCAGTAATAGCTGTCTCTGGAGAGTTATATGTTACAACTGGTACATTATGCAGTCTAATAAAGATAAATAATGAATGTAAGTAATTCTTACCCATCTAAAGGGCTGTCAAGTGAGGGACAGCTTCCCGAGCCAGAGTTTTCAGGACTGCTCAAAGACAATGGATCCAGCATCTAATAAATAACAAGCAGAGAAAGACCAACAAGTTCAATTTTTTGTTTTTAAAATGCTTGAAGGTTTCTGCTTTGAAACACCTAATAAAAAACAAAACCAAACCAGAAATAGAGAGAACTAGAGAAAAAGTTAGCTTCCATAGTTGAACCTGCATTACATTCTTTTTCCTGAAATGATTGTCATTTTTCTCACATCTAACTAGAATATAGTTAAGATATTTAATCCTGCATCATGCTTTGTACCAAACAAGTTGTACTGCGACATTCTTCCTGTATACGCCATTGTGTCTTAACATTGGCTCAAGATCTGCATGAGTAGCTTAACAGAATAACAAAAATAAGGTCTCTAAAGGATAAAAAGCCAACAGTTTAAAAAGTGGGTTTTGTTGTCATCACAGAAAAAAAAATGTCAAATATGACACAGATTGTGAGGAATGCAATTTACATAATCTGTGTAATGGTTTAAGTTTGTCCAACTATAAGTCACAGAAAACAGCTAAAACCAAATACTGTAATAAGCTTTTAAACATTTATCTCTGGTTAGGACTCCGACTGACTTACGCAGAATTTTAAATAGAACCGAAGACAAAATGGAAGGAGAAAGAGGGAGAAGGCATAAAATTTATAAACACACTCACTTTTCACCCAACGCAAAATCCTGTTTCAAATAAAATAAACTTTCATCTGAAGCCGGAGTTTACAAAAACAAAGATATTTTCCTAAAACACTTCTGACGACCTAGTAATCAATGCTCATGAGCTGTGTGAAATCTGGCATGTGTCAGTCTGAAGAAATCATAAAACTGACTATCTCAGCCAGATCTATTACATAATGAAAATAATCATCAACACTTTCTCGGTTGCTCAAATTCTAATCCAGAGAAAAAGAAATGGATTGATGGTAAAGAGCAATCCTGCTGACTACCATCTATTTCTATTGGCTGACATCCTTTTCTTTTATCTCACACTACCACCCTTAAAGTCCTAAGTATGATGACAGGCAAACATCTCTCCCTTCTCCATTGCAGTAAAGCAATCAAATGTTTTGCAGACTTGTTTTTCAAAAGAAGTGGAAACAGAATCTAAATTTTGAATTATTGAATGTGACTATTTTACCAGACTGCCCCTCAAAAACGGAGTGGAAAGCTCATCTGTTGTCTTAAAATGAGTTCATCCTAAAATAGAGTTTGTTTTGGTATATTATATAATAACTATTATTTTCTATTCTAATTGGATGCCAGTCTTTAGCTGTAAATTAAGCAGTTGCCCCTCCAATTTCTATGGTCCGGGCTGCATCGTAAAGGTCCTGGGCACATACTTTGCCAAGCACCAATTATTAAAGAAATAGTGTCCAGAAAGTGAGTTTGCACTCTGCAAACTCAGACACTTAAATGAACTCTGTACTGGGGAGGGCAACATTTACCACAGGTTCAGCAATTATAGTCCCCTTTTCTTATGCTGAGCAGTGGGTACTGAAAGGGAAAAAAGCATTTGCTGCCAGATTAATTACCTCTGTAACTTAATGCAGTATGGTCCAACTGGCAGACCACGGCCCACTTCTATCTAACCCATCATCTCTGCTGTAGAGAACGTGTGGGCTCTGCTGTCAGTGTGTGAATAGCTGTGCTCAGGCAGATCAACGGGAGAGCAGAGCAAAGCCCCCCAACTCCTAAATTCCCTTCTTGTCTTTGTGGGGCAGGCTGTGACAGATGTAGGCAGCATGGTCAACACTTGCCAAGGTGATGTGGCAAATTAGGGGGAATGGAGCCAACAGAGGTTGTGAGTTCTTGACACCCCAATCCAGCTCTCAAGGCTGCTTAGGCTGCACTAACCTGGCTTCCTACGAAAGTAAAATTCCTGTATTTAAACCCTGCTGACAGTTTACCCAGCAACGCGTACATGACAGGTTACATGTTTCTTGAATACTCTGGAATGCAAAGACATCCTGTGCCTCAGAGATCATCTGTCTGACCAGCCAGTGACCAAAACCGACTTTGCCCAGGCCAACAGTAATCATTTCACTGAATGAATGCAGGCCTGGGCTGGATCTGACCACATGGCTATGATAATGAATAGCACCCTGGTCTGGAAATTAGGAGATTCAGTCGCTATTCCAAGCTCAGTCATTAAAATTGTGCAACAAATTGCACAATCTCTTTGCCTCTATTTTTATTCTATCATCTGTCTCTCATTTAGTCAGCTCATAAAAACCATTGCCTCTTGCCATTTGTGAATGCAGTGCCAATGTCAACGAGAACTTGAAGTGATTTGGGTATGCAGCATTATTTTTTTTTCCCCTCCTTAAAATATCTCTTCCTCCATTGCCAATTCTGTGAGCCATGACATTCCTCCATCTTTTCCTGCTGTTTTTAAGGGCAATTTTCATATTCAGAGAGCAGGACTTATATTCATGCTAAGTGTGCTGATATCCCACATCAGTAATGCAGGTGAATAAGGAGAACAAAATAGCATACCTTTGTGATACCATGCCCCTCCTCTGCCAACATGACTGGAAAGTTTGTACCAGGCCCATCGCCACCCCCTTGCCTCTACCCCAACAGAATATCAACTGAGTCCAAATAATTCTTAAAGATCCAAACTTTTCTTTAAAACCTGCTTTGATTACCTGGGAAAGTAGTAAAACTGGTCTTGCTTACATATCCTTCTCATTAAAATGAAGGTTTTTGTGCTTTATAATGTAGGCATCTCTTGCTGTAATTTATATCTAGGACTGCCTCACTCAACTATCATAGTAATTAAGAATATTGTCTTTCTCCCTGTAGCAACATATTTAAATAATTGAAGAGACTTACAGAGAAAAAACAGGTTCTACAAGACTAAACAACCACAATTATTTTAACTTTCTCTCATGGATCACATTATCTAGGGTTGTCATAATTTTTAGCTGTTCTTTCTAACAATTCCATATTCTTCTTGAACAGCAGTATTTCAAAAATCAATCCAACAAAAACTTCAATTTTAATAAAACACAAACATACCTGATCCATACTTTCTGGAATGAATTCACCCTCACTGTTGATACTGGTGAAGGACCCATTTCGGGCCACCTGATGCAGCTCATCTGGAATGTATCCTGGAGGAGGCGAACTCCTATCACGAGTATTAGAACCTTTTGAAAGAAGGCGGCTAGTCAGAGTCACTTCACTAACCCACAATCCAGGGTCTTTATTCAAATGCTTCATAGGCACTGAGCCTGCCTGGATTCACTTCCTGCTTTAGAAATTTCCCAAATGCCTATGCAATACAAGATTTAAGTATAGCATTTAAAATCTGTAATCCAGAAATTATGAAAAATTCAAGGCAGGGTTGCCTCAATGGCATTAAAAAGCATTTTCATAATATAGGAACAAATACATAATTTGCCCGACATCTTGCTGGGTAAATTTCTTCTTTGAAACAAAACAAAAATCCAAACCCTTCCACCCATGTCAACCAATCCTTTCTGCTCTTGAGAATTTCAGTTTTATTTTGTAGAATATTGCATCTGCAAAAACACGAATACCTCTATTCATGATAAATGCATAATAAATTAATTGCCAGAAAAATTATTCACTAAACTCTCTAGCTTAACTAAATTTGGAAGTTAACATCACATCAACTTTTTAGGCAAAAAGGTTATATCAATGACAAAATAAGTATCTTAAATAAATGTTCACACATTAAGATAAAAAAAATGGGAGTCCTAAATTGAGCAAGGAAATGCACTGCCACATAAACAAACAGATTTTTCAGTAATTCATTCCTGTATCTGGAAAAAAGGGGAGCACTAACATCAACCGTTTAGGATACTCATCAATTACCTCAAATAATTCTACATAGATTTGTTTACTTGTGGGTTTTTTTTTTTTGGTTCCTTTTCTATACTATATATTTAAACCACCTTTGACATAAAATTCAAAATCCACTCCCTCAAGTGCAAACTCTGTAGTATGATGAGTCATTAATGAGTAAGAGAAATTCAAACAGTCTGTGTTGAGAGCAAGATCTTCATGAAGAAAAAAAGGTTTTACAATTAAAACTACTGAAATATGTATCTTACCTATTACAGACAGCCGCCTTTTTCTGTCTGTCACACCAAATACTGTGTTATCTAAATCTTCCAGTGAGGGCAAGGGTTCCACGTTATTTACACTGGGTGACTGAAAATGCGTATATATTACAAACTGCAATTATTAGTTTATACTCCTGACAATGAAAATACTGTGCAAATTTTTAAAGGCTTTGTGCAACACATTCCATTTTTGAATCATAGTCAAAAAGCAGCTGGTCAATTTATGTCAAAATTAATCTATTTTAGTAGCTCATTCTCAATATTTAAAAATAATTTTCAATATGTACTAGTGTACAAATCCTACCAACATCAGGGCTGTGATGTGATAAATAATACCAAAATAACTCACTATTTAGTCTATAGGCCACCACTACTGTTTGCTACAACAAACATTTAACTTGCTACAAAGGAGTGTCACCAGCATATGACTTAAAGAACAGTTTCAAATAACTACATTTACTTAAAATTATATGAGCTTCTCAAATTTGCATCACATCATCATCCTGTTAAGGAACACTTTTCTAGGACTATACGGGAGGCAAGCAAAGAGGGAGGAACAGGATCCAGGGAAAAGTTAAAACTGAGTCAATACAAAACGCTAATACATGCTAAAAATGAACTGAAGAAGCAATCAGTTGGGAAAATGTCATCCTTAAGAAGCAATACAAATTATATTTCAATATAAAAACTGAGGAAAAAGACACTTAGCATGTCAACTCATACCTGTGTATTTCCATGTATTACAAGTAATATCTTGAGACTTTTCATATGAACACTACGGTCAAGCAGTTCAACAGCTTTGTCCAGGTCATCCTGTGTGGTTAATGGAATTACAAGCTACAAAAATGGGAAGAAAAAAAAAAAAAAGATATCTTAAACAGGACATGAGGAACAAATGAGGAAGTCAAGTGCAGAGAAACAAATAAACTGATGCTATCTTTCCTTTCCTTCCAAATAACTTGAAAATAAATTTTATTAAATGATGCCTTAAGTTACCACCAAAACGTCTGAAGTTCAACCTTAACTCTTCCTTCAGATGCCTTCAATAGGTACAGCATGGCGGAACAAGTCTTCACAATGAAGGAGCAACCATTTTACATATGTACAGCTTAATATCCTACAAGTTTCAGAGAAACATGTGCAACAGTGTCAATGTATTTGCTACCCCCTAAACTAATGCAAGTCTAGGTAAATAAAAATAACTCCTATTTTATAGAGCATAAAGCACATTTTTCTATCTCACAATATTACAACTATATTTACTTGAATTTATACCACTAACAGAACTTCTCCATCGAATAACAGAACTTCTCCATCGAATACCAGAATTTGTTAAGGAAGTTATCAGGCATGATGTGATCCACATGGAACAACTGTAGTCCTCACTAGAATCTACTTAATTCTAATTAATTAGAATTAAATTGGCACATATATCTTTAGAATAGAAAATTATATGCCATTAAAGTATACTTGAGATCTGAGTTCTATAATGATTAAAATTGGGCTTAGGTTTCAGTTGTAAATTACAACTTCTGCTTGTAACAAAGGAACAGTGCAATACAAATTTTTAAAAATCTTTTCTACTTGTAAACAGCCTCAGTCAGTGAGGCTCAAATACAACGTCAGTTGAAATACAGCACTTTTCTACAAAAAAAAAAAGAAAATGAGAGATGAAGGTCTTGATAACAAATGAGCACACTTAAAATTAAGTTGCAGTTTTAATGGTAATGACGGGTTATTACCATCACATTTCTGAAAGCTGATGGGATGATTTGCCAACTTCTGCAGAAGATGACAAGCAGAAAACCTGCTCAGATGCATAAAAATCTATCAGAGAAAGGAGCTAAGGCTAAAGCACCATGAATGGCCATTTTTTCTGACCTTCCTAATCTCCAAAAGCCTTCTGTAAGAAATCTTCATTTTGAGGACCAGTTTCACAGAAGTGCCTGGAAAGGTACTGAGTAACCAACAAACAGCAATTACAGGAATTTTCTTCTGCAAAGATGCAGATTAGATACAGCAATTATGTTGTGCATAACCAAGCACATGAATAATCCTCCATGTACTTTGCTGACTCAAGGCAAAAACCCAAAGTAACTCCTAAGAACGGATCCTGCATCTGTAAATATATTTCCTATTAATAATTCCATCTCTACTTCAAAGGAAAGCTGGAAGTCATCTTCATTAGGCATAAGCGGCTTGATGTCGCTAGCACTGTTCCCAAGAAATCTTTGTGAACTAACCACTTGAAGAGGAGCAACAGTTAAGCCTAGTTCTCCAGTCTAAACATTTTAGCGATTATCTAACAAGATCCATCCTTAAAGAAAAAAGCGTACAAGAAAGGATAAATGTTATTTCAAATTTACAAACATGACAAAGCTCAAATAGGTAAAAGCTTTCCCAAAGTCATGCAAGAAGACTGTGGCAGAGCAGGAAGGCAATTTATGCATTCCCAGTCAAGTCTGAGACATGATTAAGATATGACTTTCCTCATAAAACATTTCATGCATCTCCTGCCTTTCCTGATTTAGACAACCCTTACATATTTGAGAACACACACATTAGGAATCTGTGATTTTGTCACAGGAATAAGTTTTGTCACAAGAGTGGTTCTCACTGTTTATAAGAGCAAATTTCAGCCTTAAAATATTCAATGTACAAGTCACTGAGAATTTAGAAGACACAGAATATTACCTCATTATTGCTGTAATGTAAGTCCATAGTCTGTCCAAAAGCAACTTTAGCTTTAGCTGCAAGATCTTCAAGTTTAACAGGCCTTGGTAATTGCAGGATCCTGAAATGCAATTTAAGTTATAAAGAATTTTTGTCCATTACTTATGAAAAATAATTATGAAAATCTGGCAACTAATTACTTAAGAATACTCTTAGAAGTGAATTTATTACTAAAAAGACCATAAGAGGCTATGCTTTATTCACTGTCCTCCATATTTTGAGTCATTGAAAAAGAGAGAAAAGCAGCGAAAAAGTTATAAGGGATAATCACACATAAAATTAGATCTTATTATGACTATTTTACTCGCTTGCATATGGCTTCTTTCTTAACCTAATGCTTTGCATGCCTCCATTCCAGGGGCAAATTCTTAGAAAATTCTAAAATTTTCTACTTCAGAAAACTAAAACAATGGAGTACCAGAGGCTGACAAGCATAAGCATCAGAGAAAAATTATTCCTACAGTCTGCATTTTCTGGAAATCCAGAAGACTAACTTATTTGAGGAAGGTAACTAAATGTCATCATCTTTACCATAATAAATTACACACTCAAACTGTTCAGTCCATTACTAACGGTGCTTCAAATGTGTTCCTGTAAGAATGGCGCAGTTAAAGGGAAATCTGAGTTGTTGACCTACAGCTGAATGTCTTGTCAAACCAAATAGCCCAAAATGCCTGTAACTGACCTTTTACTGTAGAAAACTACTGTACTATTTGAGACAAAACACCATTAAACAAAAAAATAAGTTTTTAGAAGTGACTAAGCTAGTGAGGTACATTCAATTCACATTCAAAACAGAAACAGCACTCAAATTTTGTGAGGCAGAAAAATTAGCAAAGGGTAACCGTCCCTTTTACCAGTGTCTCAATTCCAGACGCTGGTTACAGAACAATATTTGTCACTGAAATGAGGCTAGAAGCCAGGCCACTTCCAATTAAAAATGATTTTGAAAAAATAAAATCTTAAAATAAACACACATCACCATTTCTCACTGTACTTAACAATTTGTTCGGCAAGCCTGGAACTCTGCCCATCACGGCGCACGCTCCTTGGTACAGAGTGCCACATTCACTACCAAAAGAAACTCTGGAATCACTTCTCTTTTCCACTTCCCTTTTTAAAAACTAGTGAGAAAGCCATTGCATAACTTATTTTTCTTGCATCATTTCATTATTTTATCTTTAGATCTACATATGCTCAGGCAACAAAAGTATTATAACTCATGCTAAGTAATGAGCCTGGGCTGCCCACTACCCCTGGGCAAGCAGGCTGAAGTTACTTGGGACAGTCCAAAACAGAGCTAGGCCCATCAGCATAAAAGCTTGGGAAAGGTATCTGTCCACACACTTACTTTACACTTGTATTCATACTGAATTGTTTAACTTAGTCCACTATGAAAGTGAATTAAGATAAACCACAAAAATGCACTTGCAACGAGTAAACAGTTCTCTATTTCAAATTCTTGTATCTGCTTATTTCACTAGAAATTGCTAGGTAGAAGAGTCCTCAATTTTCAAAGCTTTTGAAAAGACTTTTTTCCTCCAAATTACTTGCAGCACTCAACCATCACCAATGCGCTGTTACACGTGATGTTCAGAAAAGTGATAGAAAGCTGAAGAATGTTAGTATCTAGTGAACTTACTGCTATTTTACTACCCCCTGTAAAAAGAGGGCACATACTGTAATCAGCATGGATACACCCTGATCTATTGCACATCACAGAAAGGACTGCCAAGAAGTAACATAAGTTTCATTCTGAAACAATCTTTACTTCAGGAATTTACCACTTCTATTGACAAATAATGTGACCAGGATATTATGTCCTTTTTCACTGAGTATTTTCAAAGATCATACTCTATAACCATTTCTCTAGGCACATGAAGGTTTATGCTTTCAGAAAGAGACAAACAGACAAAACGAGTTGTCCACAAACCAGTTCTGCATAGAATTGTAGATCGACTTCTGTAAAAGCTCCTGAGCAGTCATCAGAGCAGAGATACACAGAGATGTATGTCCGTACACTCTAAGCATGTACATCATTCACCTCTCATACACAAAATGAAAATAAATTTTAACTGATTATTCAAAATTGTCAATGAAATCATCTAATTTAAATTCTAACACATTTTGCTATTACAGTTCTCAGATTGGTTCCTCCAAAGTACAATCCAATATTGAGCTTTAAGATCTAGGCTTTTTCCTCTGGGTCTTACAGTAACAATATATTATCGTGCATTTATGATGCACATGATGCAGCAAAAAAATTATTTGCTGGTCTACTCACATTTAAAATCTATGCTAATTACCTAAGTAATTGTTCTAGGCTGCAAACATCCATGTGAAGGGTAAACAAGTGAAGGCTATTACATGGGACATAGCTACAGTAAGATACTTCTGCATTTATGTATACTTAGAGCCCACATTTCAAACAGATTAATTCTTTTTAAATTGTTTACACATCAAAATTACAGTTAAGCTCAAACCAAATACACTCAGATAATCTGAAACACTTTGAACAGTTTATTTGAAACTTTATGATAGGATTCCAGCAAAATTATGTAAATAATTAAACAACAAGACTGTTTCCTGTGTTCCCACCTTACCTTTTTTCACCTCGATGTTCAAATTTGACTCTAACATCATTCTGTTAGAAAAGAGATGAAGGAACCACTATTAGTTTGTTACTATCTCCTTTAATGAAGGCCGTGAAACCCCATTCAATAATCCTATACCAGAAGTAAAATCCTTAGGCATTCCATATTTATTTTCTGTCCTTTCTGATACTCCAAACATTTTAACAAACTGCTTCTGCTGAGATATCTGATAGAGGCTTGAAGTGTGTAAAAAATACCAAAAAAATTATTATGCAATACAAAAAATGCTTCTGTAAGTAAACACATTATTTTCTAACAATATATTTTAACATTATAATAGATTCATGATTTCCAATTCAGCATGGAACTGATTACCAAAGAATTCTCTATCATGAACAGGCAGATAGACTTAGCTACCAGAACAGGTTTTTATGTACACTTTGGAGCTGAGCATTCCATGCTTGTTTCATAAGCATTACCATAGAAACCCACACATGTAAATAAGCCAGCATTCATGCAGTCAATTTCCCAATAACAAAAGATACCTGCAAATACCTTCAGTTACATGGAAATTAAATTGTTTTGCAAAATCATAATTTTAAGAATCAAAATTGTATTAGCAACTATTGCAGGGAAAAAAATAACTGCATTCAACCACAGAGATTATATCCAAATAACAATGTTATATCTTTCAAAAGAACTACTCGATTCATAAGTGATTACTTTCAAAATTCACAAATTTAAACAGAATGACAAACATATATTTCCCCCTCACCACTACCACACAAACTCAGAAGTGGTTCAACTATTTTTCTTCTAACTTTCTAAACATTTATTATATTCAAATAATTTTGCATCATGTATGCACATTACTTCAATGTCTAAAGTCACAGCTCAGTGAGTTATATGACACTAGCAAAGCACCGCTGTGTTATACATACTGAAGTCTGACAGCTTTTAAAGAACGGAAAAGATGTAATCATCAGTTTTTGACAGTTTAAGAGCCACATATATTCAAATACTTTGATCTTTAAGAGGTTAAAACAAAGAGTGCACAAAATGAAGTTTCACGAAATACTGGACTGTCAATTAAGGATTCAATCAAATAAACATATAGTTAATTCAATAGGGCTATTACAATTTGGGTAAAAAATCCACATCCTCTCCTCTCCTAATCTCTCCATATAGTAGTCCAAACCTATCAAGTAAAGTTTTCATTTACTTTTCATTTACTACTTTTCCATCTGTGTTCAGTATCTGCAGAAGAAAAATAGAGGTGAAAAGAACTCACATCTCCAGCATATGAACAAACAAAAAAATTGAGGCCAAAGATGCAGTAAAGGAGCTTAAGTACATTTCTGCTGCTGTACTGACATTCTTTAGCGTGACATAGCTGACAACTGAGCAATCTAGTACACCTATAAAATTCATTCTAAAGTAGCATTCCAAATAAGAGATGCTATCACACCTTGACATATTAGTCTAGTACAAAAAAAAAAAAAAAATCTACATACAGTGTCAAACACCCCTATGATCTTCAATTGACCAGGATCAGAGTCATTTAAGCATACACTATGATGTGATCTGAAATGCCACCGTTTCATTCAGCTGCTAATTTAAGAACGTGAACAAAGAAAATGGCAGCACATCTGGGAGACTAATAGCTCATTCTGGTATGCTCACTGGTCTGGCAAGAAAAATAATTATAGAAGTCACAGCAGGATATTCAGTGTTCAATAGGTTACTAAGGATATTAAAGATTACCTGTTTTTTAGGCGAAGATGACTTTGGTTTTCCTGTTTCTTGCTGGGGCAATACAGGACGGCTGGCCTTATGAAGCACAGCCAAATCCTGCATGATAGAATTCAAAGCTTGCTGCTCATCTGCTCAGAGAAAAAGACCAGATAAGAGAAGTGTAAATGACTGTTACATTTGAAGTGCATTACTGTCTCATTTCACAATTAGGCAGGCATTATTCTAAAATCTAAGAGTCCATATTACACTTCAACACATAATTACCAAATTAAAAAAAAGAACTGCCACACTGCAAACATTTTTATTTATCATTAACAGTGCTTAAGGAAATTAACATCTTTAATCAGTAAACACACTTAAACGGAAGGTTTAAAAAACTGAAGTCATAACAGAGATTGACAACTCTACCGAACTGCAGACTGTGTTAATAAGACAAGGGTGAAGAAGAAAATAATTATGTACTTTGTTTCAAATCATGTCCGTGGATGAGATATTAAGTAGAAATCATACTCCACCCTGCCAATTCATAAAATAAAGCAAGTACTTTTGAATCATTTTTCCTCTGTCCTAAACAGGTACGGTCATGCACATAGGAAGCACCCACAAGCTCCTAGGGCAACACCTCCACTGTCCGAGCACCTGCTGACGGTCCATAGACTAATTAAAAAACAAAACACAACAGAACTTTTCCAGGACTGCAAATGTAGGGGTTTTTTAGAGCTTACAGGAGTAATTCACAAGGAGATACAGAAGCAATGAACCCAGGGGACAATTTAGGGGCAAGAGTGCTACACAGCTTATAATTCAAGTTCACACAAAATCCTAAATCCTGATGATGTGCTGCTGCTGTGATGGCCTGAGGCCATGCTAGACAAGGTTTGCCTTGGAACTGCAATGCTCCTTAAGACAGAAAAGCACTTAAAAGCTCAAAAGCCTGCGCATCCATCACTAAGGGAAATTTATTTGTCACTAGTATTTTCTATTAATTCCTTGCCACAGCAACAGTACTATACTCAACATGTATCTAGAACACTAGGTAACAAAATTTATCTACAAAGGTGTCGATTGTATGCCTTCACACTACTTCACAATGATATGCTTGTGGAATAATTCATAGCTAAGTGCTGTGATTTACAAAGAATGGTATTTCTCAAACATGGACCTGAGAAGAACTTAGCATTGAAGTCAGCAAATAATCGTTCCAGGTCTTCAGCAATGATGAGAATTCCTTCCACTCTATTAAAATATAACCAGCAAATCAGGAAATTGTGTGATTTCGGTGTTCTAATTTAATAGATTACTAACAGATCAGAAAGCTGGTCTGAAAATTAGTAACTTTGCCACGCATGCTGTCATTATTCATAGCTCTATTAAGATATGCAAATCTATAATAGCAAGTTCTACTAGCAATATTTAATGGCAGAAGTGAAGGTATTCTTGCAGCTTACAGTCATTCCTTTCTCATACTAAAACACACTTCAAAACTTGCCACAATTAAAAAGGTTAAAATATTTCATTGTGTTGTAGCCTATTCTAGTGCTCAATAAGAAAAACACTAAATTGTTCTTTTAGCAGCTGGTTGGAGGAGGTTTAATTCCCAACATTCACTAAGGAAGCATATTTCATACAAAGGAAACCAAAGCATTGTCGCAAAGAATCTAGTTTACTGAATATCCAATATGATTCAATAGTCATGTCTCACACAAAACACTGAAGACTATCACAAGTCTAAACAGGACTGTATTCCTAGATTGAATTACTTTATTATAAGCATGAGGTTGGGAAAAAACTACCATAACAATACACAATAAACAAAAGTTATTAAAAACAATTGTTTGTGTGGTTGTTGATTTTTTTTGTTTGTTTTGGGCTGAGGTTTTTTGAGAGCAAGTATCAGTAAGTGCTGACAAGATTGACATGGTCAACTCATTAAAAAGCATGTACAACTTGAAAAATTGACATCAAATTTAAAGTATTACAAATGTGCTACATATTTAGAAAAACACAGCTAGAGCATCTACACAGTCCTGGCTTTTCACTGCAACGACACAAGACAATATGATAAAATTCTTTAACATTTTGTCATTTTTTTCCGCCATAGCCATTATCACTCTGAGCACAGCAGATATTGCTCAGTACCCTAATACCATGAATCTCAGTTTCCCATCCTTGAATTTTGAAGTTACCACATAGTGAGGGAAAAGCACTATATTTCAACAGAAGAAAATAGAAGTATTTTGAATACTAGCAAACCAGCTGAACACTGCCTTTCATGTAGACGTTACATCAAATTACACAGCCAAAGAACACACTTCCTAGAAATGGTATTATATGAATATCTTTGGTCTTCAACAGAAATGAAAAGTCTCTGAATCAAAATTTTATATACGTTACACACAAGACTTACCCATAATGGCAGTTAGCCTGAAAACCTGAACTTCAAGGAAATGGTTGCTTCTTTAGCATTATTTTATTTCCTAAAATGCAAAACCATAAATACACAATTATTGGAGTTGTCAAAGTCATGTAAAACAGTCAACTCTTCATTTTTTATGGACTTTTTTCAAATATTCTACATATCAAATATCCATATAAACTACAAATAAGTAGTGCATATGCACCTATGACATGGAGAAAACAGATATTGCCCAAAGCCTCACTGGGCTCTGAGCAATATATATAGAATTTCAGAAGACACAAAGCCCAAATTAAATATTCTGCTAGACTCAAGATGATTTTAGTGTCTGTCTACACCCCCAGATGCTGATTAGTAGCTTAATTAGTCATATAACCCTACTACATGGGATATCCACTACTCCAGATTATTAAGAACCGCTTCTGTTTTTACAGGTTCCTGCACCTGGTGTTCAAAGTTCTGTGTTCAGAACTACAGATATATATATAGGTCGTATATATAAATGTATATGAAACAGCACAAATCAAGAGGCATCAAGACATACTTATTATATACACCAGAAAACTTCAATTGATAAATTTTTTTCATAATTCAAGATTATTACACAGATATTCCAACACCCTTGAAAGAAACACCTCTGGAAGACAGCAGGTATTAACTTTTAATATATCATATACAAGTTATTGAGAAAATCAGAAACATAGGGGACACATTTATGAACAAACTCCATTTATCACAGTATCTTGATTATTGGCCAATAAAAAAAAACAATTAAGGATTAATTAAAATATCTTTCTATAGGATGCTCTTAGGGAGCTTAACAGCAAAAAAAATAAAGACATATCACTAAATAGACAATGAGATTTGTTGTAATACAGGCTACCACAGGAAGAATTCAGAATTTTTAATGCAAGATCATAGCAGAAAACTCTCTAGTTTCTTAAGCAGTCACTGTCACTAAGTAGTAAGAGCCTATTCCCTCTGCCCTTTTCATGGCTGCAGTGGACCATCCATCCTTCTGACACATAGCCAAAAGATCATAGAATCATAGAATCTTTGGGTTGGAAGGGACCTTTTAAGGTCATCTAGTTCAACTCCCCTGCAATGAGGAGGGACATCTTCAACTAGATCAGGTTGCTCAGAGCCCTGTCCAACCTCTACCCCTCTCTGAATAAAACAAATGCAGTTCCCTACAAGTTCAGTCAAGGAGCTACACCAACAGTAAAATGACGTTTTAAAAACAAACCGAATTTGTTTTCTCATGGTTTATTTCCTTACCAGGGTCAAACAACCCCTGATGCCAGCACTGGGCCACCTGTGGGAGCACATGGCTGAGAACAGAGGGGAGGTGGCCAGCTCTTTCAGCACTAGCCAGACTTCCTTCCTTGAATACTCTGCTAATACTCTTGAATACTCTTGAATTCTCTAGCTAACAATAAACTAACTGCAGTTTTCCAAAGGATTTCTGAGCATCTTCAGTTAGGCATGTAAGAGTTCCTGCCATCATGTTTCTTACTTACTTCAAGAAAATGGACCTTTTAAGCAGCATTCACTTCACCAGTGGAACTAGAAAGCTTCAAATACTTCTGACATATTTTTCAGAAGGAAATTTGGACTTGAGAAACATATAAAGCTCGCTGCTATACACCGCCTTTTACCTGCACATCAGATGACTCATTATTGCCTATTTCAAGCTCCATAATAAACAAGAAGAGATCAGGCTTTTAAAGAAGATCCCGAGGTCCCTTCCTCACTCTGCAATCAGAAATCAGTTGAGAGAGCATGTATGGGCGCGCATTAGAGCTAAAATAAAGCTGAAAATACCATTCAAGTGTATTCAGAGTTATACACTCCCAAGTCTATGGAGCGCCTCAAAACAGTACCTGAAACAGCTTCCAGTTGTTGTGGGGAGAAAACCTCCTATCTAATGCTTTGTAAAGGATTAAAGCCTGCAAAAGTGTGAGAAGTATATCTGGCCTGGGCTACCCACAATCTCAGGACACAACCCGAACTTTTATTACTAACATGGGCTCCAGCCTCTTGATGCCACCACCTCTTCCCAGTGGGAAACAGAAAAATGTTTAAAAAAATCAAAAAAGAAAAAGCTTCTGTTGCTCCATAACAGGAAAGGAAAAACATGAAGAAGCAAAGGAAAAGGATTTGTACTGATCTTCAGAAATGAAAACAGGGGCTGGATTTTCATTTATCTGCCAAATGACAGTAGCCAAGATCACTCAAAATAAGGACAGAATCTTTCAGCCTTGCTCTCACACAAGATGCCAGGAGATCTGGTTTACTTAATTAACTTTTATAGCCTTAAACAACACAACTAACATTTCCCCCACGTCTGATTCTTTGGGTTTTTTGCATCCCTAAGAGTTAAAAAAGCAAAATAGAATATATCTTCTTCTTATTACCTATACTGTGGTGGTTTTTTTTTTTTTCTATCAGCAGTAGTCTTGGGGGATTTTCCAAAGAATTATTCACTGAAGTGCTTACAAAACATTTTTTTAATTCTGTATTTGATCCAACTGTCTTAAAATGAGAGCTAGTGTCATTTTCATAAATGTCTGATGTAATTAGCCATCTAATACATTAAACATAAAAATGTGTTTCATGACTTTGGATGAAGTACTTCTGTAATACTTCCTTATAAGCATTTCAAAGAAACACAAAAGTTCTGTGAGGCATTTTAAATCATCTGCTA